GGACTGGGCTGTGGACTATGGCGATGTGAGTGGCGCCTGTGTGACCGTAGCGAGGGGGATTTGGCGTATGATTGTAGTGAGTGCCAAAGGTGCAGAGGCGCAGAGCAGGTGCAGCTGAGCGCGCCGTGGTGGACGCTCTAGCGTATGAGGACTGGGCCGTGGATTACAGCGATGTGAGTGTGATGCGTGTGACTATAGAGAGGGAGGGGCTATTGTGAAGTGAGTAACGTGAGTTTGTTACAGTTGAGTGTAGAGGTGCGCACAGCAGAGCAGGTGCAGCTGAGCAACCTGTGCGCCGTGGTAGACGCTCTGGCATACGAGGACTGTGCCGTGGACTACAGTGATGTGAGTGTTGTGGCCCATGTGACTACAGTGAGGGGGGTGCAGCGTGTGACTGTAGCGAGGGGCCGCTGTGATGTTGACTGGCGTGTGATTCTTACGAGTTGACACTAGAGGCACACACAATGGAGCACGCGCAGCTGAACAACCTGCGGGCCGTGGTGTAACACTCTCTGCCATCCCCTCTCACTCGCCTCCCCTCTCTTCCCTCCTCATCGCCTCCTCCCCTCAGCTGGCCTTGGGAGAGAAGCTAGGCGGGGGTGCGTCAGGGCGGCTGCACCGGGGGGCGTATCGCGGGCAGGAGGTGGCTGTGAAGGTGCTGCAGCTCGCTCCCCATGGGGGGGGCGCGCAGGGGGAGGGCGCACCTGGGGGCGGTGCTGCTGGGGAGGGCGGGGAGGGGGTGGGGGGGACGGAGTGTGGGACGCTGCGGAGTGCAACGGCGATGGAGCTGCTGCAGTGCTTCAAGCAAGAGGTCGCTGTAATGAGGTGAGATTGAAGCAAGAGCTTACTATAATAAGGTGCGATTTAAGCAAGAGGTTACCATTTTGAGGTGCGATTTGAATTATGAGGGAAAAATCGCTCTTCACTCACGTCCTCGCGTTTTTTCATGGTCACTCAATCACTGTCTTGGCACCTTGGCATTCCAACTCCACTTACCTCTGTCTTTCCATTGCTCCTCTTCCGCCTTTGGCTGCCACATTTCCTGCCACCCACCACACACTCACGCCAATTCCCTCTTGCATCCGCATCCCTCCACAACGATGTACCTCTTACAGGATGGTTCGCCATAAGAATCTCGTGCAGTTTATCGGAGCGTGCTCTCATTGGCCGCGTCTCTTCATCGTCACGGAGCTCATGGCTAAGGGAAGGTGAGCGTATGGCTAAGGGAAGGTGAGCTTATGGCTAAGGGAAGGTGAGCTTATGGCTAAGGGAAGGTGAGCTTATGGCAAAGGGAAGGTGAGCTCATGGCAAAGGGAAGGTGAGCTTATGGCAAAGGGAAGGTGGGCTCATGGCTAAAGGAAGGTGAGCTTATGATTAAGGGAAGGTAAGCCCCTCCAACCTACTCTCTCTCGTTTTGACACTCCTCATCCCACCTCTCCCCTCTCTCCATCTCCTCTACCAGTGTCAGGGACGTCCTGGATCGCCCAGCGTCGCTCTCTCCCTGCCGGCGTGCCTCAAGCACCTGCGTGATGCGACCCAATCAACCAAGCCCCCTCACCTTTTCTCCTCGTACCACCTCCCCTTCCCCTTCACCTCCCCTTCCTCCCCACCCCAGTGTGAGGGACGTCCTAGACAGGCGAAGCATAGCCCTCTCCCTGCCGGCGCGCCTCAAGATCCTCCGAGACGCGGCGCGCGGGCTGGACTTCCTGCACCGAAGGGGCATCGTGCACCGTGACTTGAAGGCGGCTAACCTTCTCATTGACGAGAATGATGTAAGTGAGGCGGCTGCCCTTGTTGCACATTCTCTTGCTCCACTCTGTCTATCTATCCTGGACTGGAGGATGCAGCCCCGTGGGCTGGACTTGAAGGCCGCTAATCTTCTCATTGATGAGAACGATGTGCGCCTCCTGCCCTCGTTGCTAAGCTACTTGCGCCCTCTTCCCAACACCCCTCAGGTTGTTTAAGCTCTTCCCAACACCCCTCAGGTTGTTTAAAGCAAGGGTGCACTTTGGGGGGGGGGTGGAGGAAAAGGTTTATCACTTGCCTCCCCTTCTGTCGTCTGTTCCCCCAACCCATTCGCGGACGAATTCGATTCTAGTTCGCCAGCACATTCTCCAACCCTCGCTCCTGTGTTTCAAGTGGTTGGTCTCTTCGTCAACCATTCGTAGCACCGTAAGGGGTGTACCGAACCAATACACCCGAAAATCACCCCTAGGAATGTGCACCCTTGCTTTAAGCTCTTCCCAACACCCCTCAGGTTGTTTAAGCTCTTCCCAACACCCCTCAGGTTGTTTAAGCTCTTCCCAACACCCCTCAGGTTGTTTAAGCTCTTCCCAACACCCCTCAGGTTGTTTAAGCTCTTCCCAACACCCCTCAGGTTGTTTAAGCTCTTCCCAACACCCCTCAGGTTGTTTAAGCTCTTCCCAACACCCCTCAGGTTGTTTAAGCTCTTCCCAACACCCCTCAGGTTGTTTAAGCTCTTCCCAACACCCCTCAGGTTGTTTAAGCTCTTCCCAACACCCCTCAGGTTGTTTAAGCTCTTCCCAACACCCCTCAGGTTGTTTAAGCTCTTCCCAACACCCCTCAGGTTGTTTAAGCTCTTCCCAACACCCCTCAGGTTGTTTAAGCTCTGACTTTGGTGTGGCCCGCATGCTGCCATCCCGGCAGCAGGATGGCCATTCAAGGCCCGTTGTCTCGTGAACATCCTCTCTCTAACGCCTGTCCCGTCCCTCCCTTTCTAAAACCCCTCAGGTGGTGAAGCTGTGTGACTTTGGTGTGGCCCGCATGCTGCCATCGCGGCAGCAGGGGGGGCAGCTGAGGGGCGGGCCGGAGGCAGTGGGGGGGGCAGACATGACAGCAGAGACGGGGACGTACCGGTGGATGGCGCCTGAAGTGATGGAGCACAGGGGGTACGACCAGCGGGCTGATGTGTTCTCCTTTGCCATCACCATGTGGTGAGTCTTGGTGGAGGAGGGAGATGGGGGCTGGGGAAAACAGGGCACAGGGCACAGGGCACAGGGCACAGGGCACAGGGCACAGGGCACAGGGCACAGGGCAGAGGGCACGGAGCACAGGGCAAAGTAGCGGGGGTTTGATTGAGCTGATGGACGCAGCAGTGCATTGACCCGTTCACAGCCCTCACCTTGCCTCTTCCCCTGCCAACCCCACCATGACATGATTGCTGGGAGGTGTTGACAGGCGACCTGCCATACTCTGGCCTCACACCATTGCAGGCTGCCATCGCATGCTTGGGCTGGTTCTTGAGAATTCTCAAAAACATTGCCTCTTTCCCTACCCTCTTCCCCTGCCAACCCCACCATGGCATGATTGCAGGGAGGTGTTGACAGGCGACCTGCCATACTCGGGCCTCATGCCACTGCAGGCTGCTATCGGCGTGCTTGGGCTGGTTCTTGAGACTCTAAAACCTTGCCTCTTTCCCTACCCTCCCCTCCCCCATGGCATGATTGCAGGGAGGTGTTGACAGGCGACCTGCCATACTCGGGCCTCACTCCACTGCAGGCTGCCATCGGCGTGCTTCAGAGGTGAGGCCACTTGCCTTCCATTCACTGCTGCTGCTGCTGCTGCTGCTGCTGTTCTCTGCAAATGAAGCATCTCAAGAGCACACATTGCACGATCCGCAGCGCCGCATGACCACCTCCTGCCCTTCCCACGTCTCGTCCTCTGCTCGTCTTCCCTCACCTCACTTTACCTCCTTGCTCCCATTCTGTCACCTGTCACTTACGCTCTCGCCCATCCTGCCACCCCTCGCCCTGCCATCCCTCGTCCTGCCACCCCCAGGAACCTCCGACCACCCATTCCCCCCACACTCCCTCCGCCCATCGCCACCCTCATGGCGCGCTGCTGGGCATCCGACCCCGCTGATAGAGCTGACTTCTCTGAGGTGAGATTGCTGGATGATTCGTTTTTGCTCGACTTCTCTGTACCTGTCCACCAGCATCCACCATGTAGTGATATATCCACTCATTCACACCCACCTGTACCCATCCGTACCCATGCACACCCACCAGGTGTTGACAGTGCTGGAAGCGTCTATCAAGGGGGTATCCCCTGCCGCCCTCTGCTTGGGCCCTCATGCCGCCTCCCCTGCTGCTGCTGCTGGAGGGGGAAGCACAGGGGTAGGTTCAGGGGCAGGGGGAGGGGCAGGGGGAGTGGCAAGGCTGCGGGATGTGACAGGGGGGGGAGGGAGCTCTTCCTCTCTGGGCAGTTTGTTTCGACGGTCCATCTTTGGGGCTGTCAAGAAGCACTGAAGGGAAGGAGGGGCAGTGGAAGGAGGTAAAGCGAGGCAAGGAGGGGAGCAAGATCAACTGGATGTATCTTATAACTAGATCGATTATGTGAATGGGTGTGCAGGGGCTTCACTCACATGTACATGTGATGAGATGCATGGCACAGTCGTAGCCACGGCAGCGGTCTGTGAGCAGAAGCAGGAGCAGAAGCAGGAGCGCCCGGAAGTTGTAAAGGTTCTTGTAGCCCTCACCTCACATGTTCCTGCTATCAAGTTGTCAACATCCTGCAGTAGTGCTAGTAGATTGACCAGATTCAATTCAAGGTTTCTCATAGCTAATTTTGTTTTCATTTCACTCCAGTTATGTATTGAACCAGCTCAACTGCTTCCACGTATTTAAAGGTGCAGATGAAGCATGCAGCTTGAGAATCAGCAGTCAAAATCTGGGTGATCCGCAGGCAGGGCAGGTGACCGTCCTGCCTAAAACGTCATTCTATGAGCTCTTCAGAATCCTGAGCATGAAATCCAAAAGCTATCTCTCACACACATCATTCATGCGCAATGCAAGCCCAGTGTTCCAACCAATTGCATACGCAAATTCCCTATTATGCCAGGCAGGTCTCACTCAACGACGCCGGGGAAAGCCCTGCAGCAGGAAGCTGAGATTGTCAGTGGGGACACAGGAACTAACAACGAGCAGGAACAAACCGCACTGATCGAGCAGCACTTTAGCAGCAGCTCAGCAGGGGTGCGCTCAGCAGCAGTAGTTGGCAAGAACGCGGTAGTAGACGCGCTCGTCCCTGTGCTTGCCACTCTCCGCTGCCCCCACCAGCGCCAGCTCCTGACGAGGGGCGATCACACACGGGCACAATGACGCATTGAAACACGCGTTGAGACATGCATTAAGAGATGCATTCACGCACGCCCTTGAGATAAGCATTGAGACAAGCAGTGTGGCCCACACAGGAAGAAAACAAGCCGCACAAGATGGGAAACATACGGGAGAGCGGGTGACGCATGTGGCAGAGAAGGGGGGTTCACTGTGCAATGCATTCCGCACCTTGACCATCTTGTGGCTGAGATTGATCCCCAGGCAGTGAAGCAGACGGCGTAGATCCTCCGACTGGGAGTGAGGCGCAATGAGCACGGGGCCAAAGGGAACAGGTGGGAGACAGAAAGATCAGCAGCAATGGGAAACGAGGAGATTAGAAAAGAAGGTGAATAGAGAAGAAAGAGGAGAAGCGGAGAAGTGAATCGGTAATGAATGATGAGTGACTGACAGCTTCTGCTGTTGCCCCTTACATCACCATCCACAACCCCACCCATTCCCTCCCCACCACCTCTCCCCCCCTCTCCCCACAAGCTCCCCCCTCCCACACATCTCCCATGAGGCGCAGACCTTGAGGTAGTCGGAGTGGTTGCGGTCAAACTGACGGAAGGCCTGCAGGCACACAGAGAGCAGGCATGGGGGAGGGAGGGCAAGTTAGCCATGTTTATCACACACACATGACACCACTCTCAAAATTAACACAAGTCATCTTGCTAAGTGGCAGTACAAATGGACGGATGGAAGTGACGGAGCTATAACAAAGGCGTGAGGATGCAGGAGAAGCATAGAGTGGAAATGGGGATTCAGCAAAAGCGGTAGAGCTACGAGCAAGGGGCAGGGCTTACAAGGACAAGGTCAGAGGAGGTCACTGAAGACTTGGGCCACGAGTCCTCCTCCTTCACCTCCTTCACCTCCTTCACCTCCTTTGTCTCCTTTGCCTCTTCCTTTGCCTTCTCATCCTTCCCCCCCTCCTCCTCGCCTTCCTTCTCCTTCTTCTCCCCCTCTGTAACTCCTGCCCCCCTCTCTGCCGGCCCGATCTCTACCGCTCCACCACTCGCCTTCTTGCCCTCTTCCACCGCTGCACCACTCTCCTCCATTGGCTCATCCTTCACTTCCTTCCCTTCCTTCTCGTCAACCTTCTCCTCTTTCTTCACTGCCTCCTCTGCACTGGGTTTCTTGTCCTTCCCCTCATCCCCCTTCTTCTTCTCCTCATCCTCCTCCATCTTCTCTTCCTTCTTCACTGCACCGCCTTCCTCTCCCTTCTTCTCCTCCTCAACCTCCATCTCAACATCCCCCTCCCCACCTTCCACCTTCGCCCGTTTCGCCGCTGCCTCATCTCCACTCGCCTTCTCCCCTTTCCCTTCGCCCTCGCCGCCCTCCTTTGCCTTCTCCTTAGCTGCTTCAGCCTCCAGCCTGCGCTTGCGACTCTCCCTCTCCTTCTCCCGCTCCCTCTCCCTCTCCTTCTCCCGCTCCCTCTCTCGCTCCTTCTCCTTAGCCCTCCTTGCAAGGGACAAGGGATAGAGGAACTGAGGCAGGGAAAAAGACAAGCACAAGCAAACGGACAAGCACAGGGACAGGAAACCAGAGATGAGGAGTGAAAAGGGTGCTCAAAGTCCGACCGGCCCCAAAAACAATGAAAACGTGTCGGATCAACCAGGCCATTGCAACTCTACCCAGGCAGCCCCCCAAGCAAACTTGCCCTAAAGCCCGCTCAGACCACATAACGGCACAAATCCATACTTCAAATCCGCACTCCAAACCATCTGAACTACACCCATCCATATTTCCCGTGCTGCTGCTGACCTGCAGGTGCGTGAAGATGGTTCGGCCTGCTCGCTCCTGTATGTACTCGCTGATGCTCTCCGCCACCACCCCCAGCTGCAGTGCCGAGCGCAAGGGCAGGATTGGAAACAGAGGGGACGGGAAAGGGAAGAGGGGATGGGAGAGGAACAAGGGGATGGGAGAGGAAAGAGGGGTCGGGAGAGGGAAGAGCGGGGATGGGAGGAAAAAGAGGGGATGGAATGGTAAGGAGCGGAAGCACTTTCAACCTTCAGATACTCGCAGATGGCTTTGCAAACAGCGACAGCAAAAAACACAATGGCATCACACTGTACCGCACTGCACTGTAATGCACCGCACAGCAAAGAGGCACACACCTCGAAGGAGGACTCGTCCCTATCCTCCTCGTCATAATCCAGCAGCCCATCCAGAGAGATGGTGAGCGTCTTCACCTGCCGCCATACAAGGCACGCAGAGGGAGGGGAGAGAGTAAAAACGCTTGTACGCGTCATGCCAGTTCGTTAAAATTATAAGTTCCTCGTCCTTCCAAAGAAATAAAGAGAGAGTCCACACCTGCTGCCACCCAAGGCATGCAGAGGGGGGGTGCGGGATGGATGGGTTTCAAGGTGTAAGTGCCAATATGGTCGGCAAAACAGGAAGCAAGAGCAACAACAACTGTAGGATAGAATAGCACAACAAAGAACTAGACGAGGAGGGGTGGGTGTGGTGGGCGGGTGGTGATGGCGGAAGGGTGGCTAAGGACTGGGCGGCTGATGAGGTTTGGGACACACCTTGACGGTCTTAGTGCGTGAGGAAACCAAGACGAATCCAGGATTCGTGATCTCCTTGGCCTTTGCCTTTTCCTTCTCCTCCTTCTCTTTCTTCTCCTTCTCCTCCTTCTCCTTCTTTTCCTTCTCCTCTTTCTCTTTCTTCTCCTTCTCCTCTTTTTCCTTGTCCTTCTCCTCGCCTTCCTTACCCGCTCCCTCCTTCGCCTCACTGCCCTCAGCCTTCTCTCCATCACCTGAACCCTCTGCTCCATCCTCGCTCTCTTTGCCCTCCTTGGCCACATCAGAGCCTCCTTCCTTAGCCTTCTCCTCCTTCTCCTTCTCCTCCTCCTTCTCCTTCTTCTCCTTCTCCTTCTCCTTCTCCTTCTCCTCCTTCTCCTTCTCCTGCTTGTCCTTATCACTCGTCTCCTTCTCCTTCTCCTTTCCAGTTTCATCCTTTTCCTTCCCTTTTTCCTTTTCGTTCTCCTTCTCCCTCTCCTTCTCCTTCTCTTTCTCCTTCTCCTTCTCCTTCTCCTTCTCCTTCTCACGCTCCTTACGTTCCTTGTCCCTCCTCTCCTTCTCCTTCCGCTCCTTCTCTTCGATCGCCTTCCTCTTCCCCTCGAGCTCTTTCACGGCCTTCTTCCAATCCTCCAGGCTCGGAAGGCACTCCGACAGGTTCGGCAAGAGGTAGACCACAGTCTCGAGGTTGGTGGGCTTGCCGTGGCTATCAGATCGCATGTAAACCACCTGGCAGTCCGATAAGAAGTAGAAGCAGAGAAGGGAACGGAGAAAAAAAAGGTAAGGGAAAATAAGGCGCAAGGGCGACAGGGCAGGAACGTGCAGACCGATGGGCGAGGGGCAAGAAGAACGAAGGTGAACATGGCTGAATCAATGGAGGCAGCTCGTGACAGAACCACATTAACAAGACAGACTGCCGTAGATGCAGGAATCGGCGTGGGCATCCAGGAGGAGCAAGCAAGGGCAAGCACTCACGTCGATAAGCCGCGCCCAGTCCTTGCATGCGCTCAGATCCACGCGCACGGTAGCCTTCACGAACCTGCCACAGAAGCAGTTTTTTAAGATCAGGTGAGCGCACTCCATACGAGAAAGGAGAGCTTCAAGCGCAACATACGACAAGCAATGGAGCCGTGAAGCAACTCCCAACAGAAGCTTGGATTGAAGGATGGCATGGGATACGCTCGGACCTGGCATGCTCACATGCAATGCAACCCTAAGCTGCTGCATCAAACAGCCCCTGCCCCCGCAGACCAATCACAGCGTTCCCCTCGCACCTGATCGCAGCTCGCACAAGCCCAAAGTCCTCCTTGCTCGGATCCCCACCATCCGTTTCCGCCTCCCAGCGCCCGCCAATGGCTGAGATGGGATCGCGGTCGCGGCGCATGCAGACAAATCGCAACGAGTGGTTGGTGTGCGGGGGGCGCTCGTGGGGCGAAGGGGGCTTGTCTGACGTGATCTGGGCGAGGGCTGGCGCGTCCAGGCCGCTCATCAGCAGCACCTGATGGGACAACGGGGGAACGTGGCATGGCTTAGAACGAAGCAGCCCGTGCAGGACGAGGGGGTGATGGAGAGCGGAGGAACGGAGAGAAGGCGGTTGGGGAAGGGAGGGGCGGAGAGCGGCTTGGGACGATTGGGAGGTGTGGCGTCGGAGAATCTTTGCACTCCTCTTGCTGCTCGCGCATGCAGATGCCGCAGCGGAGAGCCAGACACACACACATACACACAGCCCACACCCCACACACGCACACACACACCGGATACGTGGGAATCGGAGAGGAGGGGCGCCCTCACCTTGACAGTCCACAGCATGGGCAGCTCGAGCCCAAAGGGAGCAGCGGCAGAGTGGGCAGGCGACGTGGCAAAGCCACAGCTCTCATTCGCCGTAGCCATAGATGTGTCCTCTGTAGGCGACTCCCCAGCCGTCGCTGTCGCTGTTGCAGCACCAGCCGACTGCCCTGCAGGAGTGCCGTCCTCTGCCATGCCCTGAACCTCACCCTTCACTTCAGTGACCTGTGCTCCCTCCTCTGGCTCTGTCTTCACAGCTGGGTCTCCCTTGCTCGGAGGAGAGGCAGTGCCGACGGTTGCTGCAGCAGCAGGCGAGGTTGATGCCGCAGCAGTGGTGGCAGCAGCGGTTGCAGAGTCGTCAGATTCTACCTCTACTGAGTCGTGCTCGAAGCTGATCCGGCCGTCCATCCATCCATCCATAATCCATCCATCCATGGGAAGTGGGCAGTGGGCCGCGGCGCACATATGCACGCCACCACGCATAACGCACAGAATGCCATCGCAACAAGTCTGGATTAGAAAAAACAAATCCAGCAGCTGATTGTTGCTCTTGTGATTGCAGGAGAGACGAGTGGAGGATGAGGACGAAGACGCGCATCGAGCATATGGAGCTCCGAGTGACAGTGGCAGCAGGGAATAGCGGAGCCTCCTGGCTGCTGGACAGAACCAGCAGCCACCAAAACCAACAAGAACCAGGAGCTCAGTGGTAGCAGCCGAGGCTGGATGCATTGAGTGACTGGGAGAGTCATGCCCAGCAGCTTCTCCCACTCCTGGCTCTAGCATCGTGCGGCGGCAGGTGATGAGACGGCAAGCGAAGGAGCATGACAGGAAGGGCACAGCAGCAACAACGTGAATGGGACTGGGAGAAACATACCTGACAGGAGTGAAGAGTGGCAGCGGGGTGGAATGAGTAGGCCACACAGCTCGCGCCTGCACATGATAATAGATAAACAAAGAAAGAGTTAGCGGGCAACAGCGAGACACACCTTGCAGGAGTCAACTGGCACACAGAGGCGCAAAGTATGTTGCGAAGCGCCCTAGGAATGCACACCTTGCAGAAGTCAGCTGGCACGTAGAGGCGCAAAGTATGTTGCTAAGCGCCCTAGGAATACACACCTTGCAGAAGTCAGCTGGCACGTAGAGGCGCGGGTAGCGCTTGCAGATGCTCAGGTACCCCCTCTCCACCTCCGCGAATGGGAAGGGCTCAATCTGATAAGACATCGGGGGAGAGTAGGGGCGGCGATGGAAGGGAACAAATTGTTGTTTAGGCAGGGAGAAGAAGGATGTGCGGGGCAGAGAGCAAAGGATAGCTGGACGGAAGCGCAATAACAGCGGCTTCGTCGGAAGCTGACCAGAAAGGGGTAACACAGGGCAGCAAGGAGAGAGACTGACCTTGCAGGAGTAGGGGCGGTAATAGTCACGGGGCGGAGACCTGCAGGGAGACAAGGAGAACCACAGAAGAACACCAACGACCCATGGATCTTAGTTACATAACTGAAGCCAAACTGTTGAAGCAGATTGATTTCAGGCACACAATCTGCTTCAGCCAAAATCAGCTCATCCTGAAGCTTAGCCTAGTTACACGACTGGACCTGCAAGACCCACACTGCAAACAGTGCACGGATCCTGTACGCCAGCCGAGCATGCACCTGCGCACATGACCCCATGGCAAACCACCATATTGCCTCTATGGCCCAGCGCACCTGTGCCTGTGATAGTCGCGCTCGTCCTTCCTTGCCGCTCCAGCAGCAGCCGCCTCCCTGCCACCGCCTGCCTTCCTCCTCTCCTCCCTCTCCTTCTCCCTCTCCTTCTCCTTGTCCTTATCCCCATAATCTCGATCCTTCCTCTCCTTCTCACGTGCCCTCTCCCTCTCCTCCCTCTCCCTAATTCTCTCCCTATCCCGAGCCCGCTCGCGCTCTCTCTCCCTCTCCCTCTCCCGCTCACGCTCCCTCGCCTTTTCCCTCTCGCGCTCCCTCTCCTTCTCCCTCTCCCTATCCCGCTCCCTATCCTTAGGCCTATCCCTCTCCCGCTCCCTCTCCGTAACAGCCGCCCTGTCCCTCCCAAACGCCCCCCGCTCCCTCTCCCCGCCCTTCCGCCACTCCTCCTCCCTCCCCCTCTCCACTTCCCTTTTCGGCCCAGCATCGCGAGCCCCGGGCCAAGCCTTGCTGGTCTGGAATCCGGAATCCGCACCAAGGCCGGAAGTTCGGCCAGCAGGGGCAGACGCCTTAGGTGCAGAGAAGTCCCGGCCTGGAGCACCACAAGAACAGGGAGAGACCGAGAAACATCAGGACGCATAACACGACCGACGATAGGAGGGCGAGGTGAGAAGTGCGAGAGTGCGTAAACGAACGAAGGCGGGGTAAATGGGGTGGGTGGGCGGGCCGCGGGGGCGTTGGAGGGGGAGGGCCGGGAGGGGGGGAGAAAGAACGGGGGGTTGAGCGGAGGAGGAAAGCGGGGGGGTATAGAAAGCATACCGTGGAAGCCCTGAGGCGTGGGATGCGGCGCTGAAAACCCCTGCGCCGGCACGTGCTGCTGCTGCTGCTGCTGTTGCTGCTGCTGCTGCTGCTGCATCTGCTGCTGCATCGCCACGGCCATTTGCTGCTGGAACGGGACGCTGCCCGCGCCCATGCCGGACACGCCTCCCCCCATGGCAGCATACCCGGGACCCGCGGCAGTGAGCATGACGGGCGTGGCACCGCCAGCGGCAGCAGCGGCGTCGTACTGCACGCCCGTGGTGTACACGATCTGCCGCTGCCCTCCTCCCACTGACGCGGCTGTGGGCGCCGTTACCAGCACCTGCTGCCCGTAGCTGTCCGTCGCGGTGTAGACGCTGGGGGGAGGGGGGAGGGAAACGACGAGCAGGGGGAGAAGCGACGAGCAGGCACGAGAAACAACGGTGTGAAGGTAGTCCTTCCAAAAAAAACCACTGCACTACAACATGTTTGAGTCGCGAAGTTGGAAACCGGAAGAAATATTTGCTTGCGACGAAACGCTCTGCATGCGAGGAAACGCTGAGCATGCGAGGAGACGCTTACCGCTGCTGGGCTGCAGCTGCCTGCTGCTGCGACGCCATGGCCTGCTGCATGGACGCCGCTGCTGCTGCCAGCCCGATGGCCGACGCTCCACCTGCGCCCTGCTGCTGCTGGTACTGCTCACATCAACACAAGCACAAAAGAAGCACAGCGAAATGCTTTCCATTAGAGGAAATTTAATGACAGAGATCCTCTTCAATGGCGTTGTAAGCGCATGCCTTACACAATGTGAAGCTATATGGCGTCAGAATATCAACCCGCAGAAGTGACGCAAAGCAGACGCGCGAAAGGGGCACGACGCGAGCATAAATTTCTACCGTTGCTGCATCGCGATAATAAGCTCCCGTCTTCTTACCGTTGATGACGCGTCCTGGTAGTAGGCCCCCGTCTTGGGGTCGAAGCTGAACGTCCCTCCAGCGGCGGCCGGCGTAGTAGCAGTCGTCCCCACGCCATACCCGCCGTACGCGGAAGCACCGCCGGCGGTTCCCGCACCGCTGGAGATATCGAGGCCGTAGGCTGCAGCGACTGCCTGCGCGCCGGCCGAATACTTGGACGTTCCGTCGACGGTGGTGGCGAAGGAGGAGAGCGAGGAATACGGGTTGGCCTGATGACCACGCGGAGAGGAATCGGAAGAAACGCGACGGAGTAAGGAAGTGAGGATGAGGAGGACGATGGATCATGGAAGGTAGTACAAGAAGTGGCTGCGAGGAAGGGGGTAACGACAGGCGGACGGCGAGAGGCGACGGACGGATGGCAGACGGAAGATTTAGTACTGATAAACGTCTGTCGAGTCATCGAAAACGCTAAAATTTTGGACATTCTAGTTGGAAAAACTGCTACAAAATCAGGAAAAAAGAAACCGCTGCACAGTCGAATCTTCTCCGTAATACATACCGACGCAGCCGAAGCTCCCTGGGTGTAAGAAACCTGCTGCTGCTGTCCCGCCTGCTGCGCTTGCTGCTGCTGCTGCGCCTGGGTGCCATAACCAGCAAGCGACTGGTACGTATAGTACTGGCCGGTCCCTGATGCTGCAGCAGGCGTCGCGGATGCCACCTGCTGTTGCTGCTGCTGCTCAATGGAATAGCAGACAAAAATTCAAGAAAAGTTGGAAAGTCCATCAGCATTCTGAGGCTGAGAATCAGTAATCTGGAACAAAGAGAGGATGCCATAGCGAAGGAAATTATGGAACAAGAACAGTCAGGGACTTACTTGTGTCAGCTGTTGCAAGGAATAACCCTGCTGCAAAATCGCGGAAAATAAGAGAAGGCAACAGAAACTTATCAAGGTTAGGACATCCGTAAGCTAGGTAAAGAAACTTCACGGTGAGCATAAATATACCATAATGTCTACGAAAGGCATAAACTATTAGAAATAGACGTCTAGAGTCAGAGATTCTGTGAGCATCGAGATCGATCTACAAGTCAAGCTCCAGATCTACGACTCGCACGACTGAACCCTAAATAAGAAACCGAAAATAACTGGGGAAATCTACAAGAAACGTGTTAGATTCGAATATTATGAGCACCTGGGAGTACTGCGAGGCCCCTCCGCCAGCCACGGAGCTCCTCCAAGAATCCATGGCGAAGCGAGCCCTACTATTGCGCACTACAACACAAACGCCAATGCGGTGACGTGAACGACGGTCAGCAATCCAGGTTAGGGAATGGTGGAATGCGAGACACAACCAAGGCTCAGAAGAAACCTTGATCTGGTCTGGTCTGGGGATTAGTTTTTGACCTTGGGATTCGACAGGTCACAGAACCCTTCGGCGCTTTGTTCCTTCCCTGACTGGGCATACGAAGAGAGTGTAACAGCAAAATATTATATACATGAAACGATTACATATCCCACTTTTTTAAGCCGCATGTCAACATTGGACAAATGGAAAATTGTAAGCAGCTCAAATGAAAGACCTGCTATGGCAGACATGAGCCGAACCCAATTACAGACGTACCAGAACATAACCTAAGCCCGCATGTCCACCACAGGACCCACCCACACCTTGAGCGCCCCATTCAAGTTCTGCATCCAACCCCCAATCAGCCCCTCAAAACTACGGTACCAGAACCGCCATCAGAATGACCAATTGTAGGAGATACTCAGCCTCTAGGACCTGCATTATTGACAGCCATCTTGGGATGAGTACCCCCCGTTGTTGCTCTATTTATTGGCAACAGTTTCCCCCCTGCGCAAAAACTTCACCTTGAATCGTGAAGCACGTTCACTATGCATCACTTTGTAAACCCGATTCTCCTCCCTGTATCGTCATTGCCCTGCTTCTTGGTGCTGCTCCTTGCGAACCTCTATCGCATGCAGACGTCCTAAACACCGTTCTTTCTTTGCTTCAAGCCTGGAAATCTTGCTGTCAACACGTGAGATCTTCTCTCTCAGCTCATCCTCCTCGGACCGTAGGTTGAGAGGCTGGGGAGGAGGTGTTTGCGGTCTTGTCCTTCTGATTCCCTGAGACCCACCAAAGAAGCAGGGATACAGAGTGAAGGAAGTACCAATTACAATCAAAACTGCTGGTCATTCTACAAGTGAATGACGGGAGCGTGTGCGACGTACGGGCAGTGAGCGTGGGCGACGGAGGGGAGTGCGCGTGGGCGATGCGGGGGAGTGAGCGTGTGCGACGGTAGGGGAGTGAGCGTGGACGACGGAGGGGAGATTGCGAAACGCGACGGGAGGGGAGTGAACGTGGGCGACGGAGGGCAGTGAGCGTGGACGACGGAGGGGAGTGCGCGTGGGCGATGGAGGGGAGAATGACTTGCTTACCGCTGTTCCAACGAGAAAATGACAGATGGTAACGGAAGCGCACAGCAACTTACCGATGCATAAGGATCCATGAAAAGGTTGGTTCCTGCTACTGCCCGCGGGCGCAGCGGATGCTGCCTGCTGCTGCTGTTATTGCTCAGGTGATGCTGCTGATTGCAATCTCAAGACAGAAATAAAACGAAAAAGGTTGGTGCCGCCGAAAGCAGCTACGGAAGGAGGCTAGTAGTATCTATATTAGCGGCATGGCATCACACAGCATTACAAGCTTGAATTCTTTCGGCACCTACCTCGCGCGTGTTGCATTCGTTGGTGCGAGGGGTCCGTCCATACGTCTTGTGGGGCGAATGGAGGTCCGACCGACCGAACCAAATCCCGAGGTTGGGCTGATCGTTGACTCAAGTACACGGGCTGAGCTAATATTTGAAAACAGATACAGTATCAATTATACTTAGCATTAACCCCTAGTTGTTTGAACAATGTTTTTTCCCCTCCTTGCAACTTACTCCTAGCTTTCTTTTACTATCACATGACATACATCATTCTAAGTGTCTACCACTGAGCTATCCTCTCCTGCTGATCTCTTGTGAGTGCTCTTAATGGCATACATTTCCATAACTCGGGTCTTGTTCTGTGCCCACCACGTCTCCGCTTGCCGTTCAATAAAGCGCTTCCGGCTGCATCGATAGACACAACCACACCACAGTTAGCACAAAATAGACACAAAAACCATAAGAAGCAAATGCTCTACCCACCTATCAATGCGCGCATGGTATTTTACGCACCTGAATCGGACACGTCTCAACTCGGTTCCACCGCCAGGCAGCTTGGAGAGCGTGATGTACACCCCAGGCTCTGGCTGCTCCACCCACTCGTTATCATGCAGCTTGCGTGTCGACTTCCTGCTTCCTCCCTTGCCCTCCCCACGCCTACTCGAACTTGTCGACCCTGCTTCACTCTGAGACCCATCCCTGTCATCACCACCCCCAGAGTCCGCACCTCTACCCTCCTCCTCACACTCAGCAATGCCATCCAATCCATGCATCCGAACTGTCTCCTCCGTCAACATGCCTGGGTGCTCCTCAATTGTACAAGCCCCTGTAGCAGCATCAGCAGAGCTTGCGGCACCACCAGCACCAGCCATGCTAGTCTTGTCCATGCCATTGATTGACAGTCTCCCATACAGTTCCTGCTCGGTGTGTGGGTTTGCAGACAGCAAGCCAGCTGCTTGACTCCCATATCTCCCTTCCTCCTCCTCCTCATCAATCCCTTGCTCACCCTGCCCCATGTTCTCTTGCAAGTCTGCATACCTAAAACTTGGTTCCACGTTTTCGTTTTCCCATCCTTGGCAACCAAAGTTCACCTCTTGCCTGGTCTCATCAGAAGAACCTGCTTCCCTCACACCACTGCCACCACCACCATCAACTGACTCATCACCCTCACCCAACGCAGCCTTCCCTTCCCGACCAACGTACCTCTCCCCTGCCAGTCCTCCCAATCTACCAATCAGATTCTCACTCGGCCGCCCATTCCGTTCCTGGACCAAACTCTCTCTCCCTCCGCTCTCGCTCATCCCACCCACACTGCTTCTGCTGCTGAGCCCAGGCACAACAGGCAGGCTCCTCCTGCTGCTCGGGCCAGGCACATGAGGAGCCACAGCTGCACTGGGAGCCGCCACAGAGACACCCACAGGGACGCGCTCAGGAGTTGTCTCACGCTGCCGCAGATGTGTCCACGACTCATGCAGCCGCACCAGCGACGGCACCATGCGACTCTTGCCCTCCTCCTGCTGCTGCTCGTCCCTCTCGCCCCGAGGCGCCTCAAACACAGGCAGTGTGCGCCGCTCCTGCTTCTCACCCATTGCCCCTCCACCCCTACTGCCAGGATACCCCCCGTGTGACTCTCTCAGGCTGAGACCATCCAGCTGAGCGCCAGAGCTGCCCCTCTCCGCACTTGCTTCTGTCCAGCGTGCCGGAGCCTCAAAGGGTGAGCTTCCTCTCACTGAATCCCCCACTCCCACGCTCTCACGTGCGCTTACATCCACACTGGAACCTCCCCTTGCCACGCCCACCCCTGCCACACCAGAAAACGAGCCTGCCTCTCTCCCTCCTGCTGCTCTTGCTGCGGCTGCTCCCTCTGTCGCTCTCCCCCCACTAATCCACTTGGAGCGCGGCGAGATCTTATCAGACGAGGCCCCTGTGGGGGTCCAAGGCACTCCTCCCTCTGGCTGCTCCTGCACCCCAACCCCCTCAATGTGCCCCTCACGCACCAGCTCTGCTCCTCCTGTGTTCCCCAGCCACGGGTGCAGCTGGTGGTTGGGCACAGCAAGCACCAGCCCAGGGAACCCCTTGCCACCCGCATCTACTCTGTTATAGCTACCCAGAGAGGAGGACACGTGGAAGCCTCTGGTTGGACGCGAGTTGGCAGTGAGACTTCCTGGTCCTGCTGCCTGGGAAGCAGCACTTGCTGCTGCTGCTCCTGCTGCTGGAGCTGCACTCCCTACCCTACACGCCTCCACAGTTCCCACAGAAGCACCGGGAGCAGCAGTGGCGAGAGCAGGTGCAGCAGCAAGCGCAGCAGCACCGCTCCCCGAAACAGGTTGAGGTGGCACCTCAACAAGAGACAGGGGCAGCAAGGAGGCCGACAGGAGCAGCGGACCCATGTACAGCACAGAGTCGTCAACGGCTCGGATTGCCAGGCTGGCTTGCTTGACCGGGATCAACGGTGCATGCTGCAGCAGCTCCTGCATCTGAGCGCAGAGCACTTGGATGATGTCTCGTGCCCCTGCTGCCCTCGCTCCCGCTTCACTGGCTGCTGTCACTGCTGCCTCCACTTGCCTCTGTGCCAGCTCTAGGGTCGCCCTGCGTTCTTGCTCCAGCAGCTGGCAGTGCTGCCGCAGCACCTCCACCTGCAGAGACAATGGAGTTACCACAGGAATGAAACACGTAAGATTAAAAGAGTCTGGTTCGCTCCACCCCACGGCGTCATCCAGTGTGGCCCTGCGTTCTTGCTCCAGCAGCTGGCAGTGCTGACGGAACGCCGTGCCATCTTGTGTGCAGCAAACATGCCGTGCCATGGACACATGACTAGACTAGCACACGCACGGGGGCAGCCCTCACTCACCTCATCCTGCAGGCGGTACGCCTCCCTCTCTGCGTTCTGCTTCGCATGCCGCATGCCCGCCATTGCTGTGTCCCTCTCCGCCTCCGATGCTGCCCACAGACAAACCAAACCCAAGAACAGTGGAGAAGAGCAGTGTGTCGAATTCTTGAGAAAAGGAGAAGAGCATTGAAGGCGCAAAGTCCATGAGAGGAATAGCACAAGGCCACTCAGAAATGGAATCCCGCCCAAAATAGAGGTGGAAGTATACCATACAGAATGGCACTTACTTTCTTCCAATGCTTTTGTCATGGCTGACCATCCTCCTCCCTCTCCTCCCTCCACCCCACCCCCTCCCGCCCCTGCTCCTGCACCTCCCACTCCACCCACCCTCCCCACCAACGATCCTCCTCTCATCCCCCCCCCCCCAGGCAGCGCCACAACGCCTCCCAGGCCACCCACAGCCCCCATCCCCCCTACTCCACCAATGCCCCCTGGTCCCACCTGCCCTGCCGCTGCAGCTGCTGCTGCAAGGGAGGCAGCAGAGGGACCAGGCATACGCCCTGCCATTGCAGCTGCCATGGCTGCAGCGGCTGCCGAAGCTATTTGCGCCGCGGTCGGGCTGGAGGCTCGGCGAAGCGGGCTCGTGCCCATCGACCGCCGGAGCATCGGGCTGGTTGACCTCTTCCCCGGGGCTTGGACCGAGGTTCGGAGCGACCGGCTGGTTCGGAGATGGGAGTCGTCAGGTTTGGCGGGAGGTGAAGCGCTGGTGCGGAGGGGAGGAGAGGCGGAGTGGGCATGGGTAGCGGCAGGAAGAGCGGGGAGGGAGGCGGATACAGAACTGTTGGGAGGGGGGAGGGCACGGGAGTGGGGGGCATGGGAGGGTCCCTGTGTTCCCTGTGAGAGACCTTGTGAGAGCCCTTGTGGGCGTGGCTGCTGGGATAGGTAAGAGGCGAAGGAGGTGGGGACGGCTATGGAGCTCCAAAGTGCTGGAAGGGCCTCGGTGCGAGCACGACGAAAGTTAGGAAGACCATCTGTAGAGGCTGAGACAGATGGTGCATGGGACGCTGGGCCCACTGATACACCCCCTGCTGCTGCTGCTGATGATGATATTGATGATGGTGCTGCTCCAGAGGATAATGCAGCTGCCATGTCAGCCAGTGACGGGTCCAACAGCTTGTCCACGTCATTGGACGTGCGTGATCTCTGCCACATGGACTTGCTCCGAGACCGCCAGCTCATCGCAAGGCTCACAGGCGGAATGTTCCCTACAGCTGCTCCCACTCCCGCTCCTCCGCCTCCTCCTCCTCCCCCCCATCCTGCTGCTCCAGTACCCATCCCCGCCCCTCCTGCCAAACCGCCTCCAGCATTCACCCCACCGAAGCCACCAGTCTGACCTGCACCAGATACCCCTCCCCCGGCACCTGCACCTGCCCCTGCTGCAACCGACCCTGCCCCTCCTCCTCCCATCCCACCCACACCACCCACAGTCCCATGCCCCACACCATTACCACCCGCTGCCACAGCCCCCATAGCACCCCCCACAGCAGCCCCAGCAGCAGCAGCAGCAACAGCTTTAACCATCTTGGCATGGCAGGAGTCGCACACGCGGTAGGGGCGGGAGGAGGACGGGGCCATGGCTGCTCCCAGCAGCTTGCGGCTGCTACAGCCGTGGCACACGGGCTGCCCACAGTTGTAGCAGCTGTGGCGGGGGCGTGCGAAGGTGAATGGCTGGCGGCACTGGTTGCACTGGTAGTTGTCGGCGCCTGAGAAGGGCTTGTGCTGACACACCACAGCGGTGCTAGCCGCCCCACAGGACACCTGGTCATGGGGGAGCGCGGGGAGGTGGTGGGGGGGATTGAGACATAGCAGCAATGAGAGTGAAGGGCTGGCGGCACTGGTTGCAGTGGTAGTTGTCGGCGCCTGAGAAGGGCTTGTGCTGACACACCACTGCAGTACTGGCAGCCCCACAGGACACCTGGTCATGTTGGGAGAGTTGGAGAGAAGCAGAGCAGAGGGTGAAAGAGCATGGTGTGAATGAAGGCCTCGAAGCAGGGGAGGAGAGAGTGAGACAGTGGGATGGGGAGAGGGAGAGAGTGTGAGAAGCAAGCACCACATGGCTGCAAGGAAGCAAACCACCAGCGAGGGAGCAGCTTACCAGCAGGACCCGGCGGTCTTTGAGGGCAGTGATAGCGGTGGGCACGTCCCTGTCCTTCACGTCCCCATGGCCCAGACGGCCATTGGCGCCCCTGCCCCACGTGAACAGGTGCGCTGTGGAGCAAACACACATGCCAGCAAGGGAGCAACTCACCAGCAGCACGCGTCTGTCTTTGAGGGCAGTGACAGCGGTGGGCACGTCCCTGTCCTTCACGTCCCCATGGCCCAGGCGGCCGTTGGCGCCCCTGCCCCATGTGTACAGGTGCGCTGTGGTGTAAGCACGCATGCAGCAGAGGAGCAACTCACCAGCAAGGGAGCAGCTTACCAGCAGGACCCGGCGGTCTTTGAGGGCAGTGACAGCGGTGGGCACGTCCCTGTCCTTCACGTCCCCATGGCCCAGACGGCCATTGGCGCCCCTGCCCCATGTGTACAGGTGCGCTGTGGTGGTGAGAGCTGCCACGTGGTGTGCCCCACACGCCACCTGCTCCACCTGCTTCTGCTGCAACAGGCCGGCCACCGGAGCTGGAAGAGTGGATGGGGGAGGAGGGACATGGGGAGGAAGGGGGTCCAAATGGAGAATGCGTGGGGGGGAGTCATGCCATCCAGACAGAAGCACATACAGGCCAACGTGGGGGTCAGTCATGCCACGAGAGGTGTGCGACAAAGGCGCAAACACAGCAGGAGCAACAGCAGCACGCGCAGCAGCACGCACCTGGCAGCTTGCCATCGGCTTGAGGGTTGCCCAGCTGCCCATACTCCGCACTGCCCCACGTGTACACCTGCCCCTCTGCTGTCACCGCCACTGTCACGCTCTCCCCACATGCCACCTGAGGAAGACAGGAGACAACCAGGAGCGGATAAGGAGGCGACCACACAGAGGAACAGCAGACAGACAACGCACACGCGGCAGGGGGGCAAGGTGATTCACAGTAGATGGGAGCGAATTTACAGAGCCTGGCAGTACCACGCCTCTAGCCTGCCTGCCTGCCCTGCCTGGCTTGCCTAGCCTCCTGGACCTGGTGCACCAAAATAGATTCATCAGGTAGCGGCACCTGCTGCTGCTGCTACTACTGCTTCAACCATGGCCCAGCTAGTACACGTCCCCATCGCCCCATGTAATCACCTGCTGCAGGTATGCGAGAACTCTAAGGGAACACGAACCTGGGAGCAGCTCTCCTGGCGCAGGGCGTTGACCACAGCCGGCAGCAGCTGCTGCTGCTTGTCCCCATGGCCCAGCTTGTACCCTTCCCCATCACCCCACGTGAACACCTGCCCACAGCCTGTGCCGCTGCTGCTGCTGCTGCCCCCGCCACTGCCATCACCCGACGGGCCTGTGTCCACCACTGCTGCTGTGTGCCACACCCCACACGCAACTCTTAGCGTTCTGTAGCCCTGTAGCGCCTGCACCTGCTTGGGCACTGGAACAATCCTGTGAGGGGGCAGACGAGGCGAATTAGGGAAAAAAAAGACAGGTGGATTAGGCGTTGCCAGCTTGTAAACGACACGCACTGCGACTGGTGGGGGGGCAACGTGTGGATCAAGAGAATAGGCACAGGGATGCGGCGTGTGCCATACGCGTGGGTCAAGTGTGACACATGTGTGCTAGGTGTGTGCCAGGCAAGTGCGCGCTAGATGACTGTGCCAAACTCGTGGCAAACCCACATCATCCCCATCCCAACTCACTCGCAGTCGCCATGCCCCAGAGCGCCAAACGTGCCGTCGCCAAACGTGAAAACCTCCCCTCCAGCCGCAACCACGGCCACGTGCCAGGGGCCACATGCGATCTGCACCACATGCGCCCCGTCCAGAGGGCCGCCCAGCCTGCGCGGCACCCACTGCGGCATGTCCCCGTACCCGCCTGACCCCAGCAGCCCCTGGCACCTGCGGCCGTCCCCCCATATGTACACATCGCCCCCCCGGGTGAGAGCACACGTGAAGTGCTTTCCACACGCCACCTGCCCAAGGGAAGGGGGGAACAAAAAGGACGGGCGAGAGTGGTCAGCACTGGGGCATGTCCCCGTACCCGCCTGACCCCAGCAGCCCCTGGCACCTGCGCCCGTCCCCCCATATGTACACATCTCCAGCTCGTGTGAGGGCGCATGTGAAGTGCGTGCCACACGCCACCTGCCACAGGTGGGGGCAGAACGGGTGTGGGACGGGCGAGATTGGCCAGAAGAGCAAAAGCAGCACAATCCGGGCAGCTCCATGTTGTGGAGATCGTGTTGTGTAGGCCGCCTTGCTAGCATTCCCATGTGCTGTCCCACTCACCCCATGCATATCTCACTCTCAGTCTCACCTTCAGACTCACCTTCAGTCTCCCTCTCAAGCCCACTCTGCCGCTCAATCTCACGGAACTCTATCAGATGCCTCACCCCACTGCACACGAGATCCTCTCGCAGGTTCCCTAGCCCCCCCCCCAGCTGAGGCTGCTCCCTAGGCCTTCTGCGCGCCCTCCACTCAACTCCATGTGTGCATCTCAATCCCAATCCCAATCCCAATCCATCAAGCCCACCAACCTTCCACCCCACGCGCGACCCCTCACCTGATCCACCCGCAGGCCTCCCAGCGCCTCCACCAGCTGCGGATGCTCCACGTCTTTCTCCACGCCCTGTACTCAACTCCATGCACACCTCAATCCCATCCCAACCCCATCAAGCCCACCAGCCGTCCCACTCACGCGTGACCTCTCAGCTTACCTGATCCACGCGCAGGCCCCCCAGCGCCTCCACCAGCTGGGGATGCTCCACGTCTTTCTCCACGCCCTGCCCAAGCCTCCCCCCGGACTCCTCCCCCCAGCACAGCACCTCCCCCTGCCGCGTCACCAGCGCTGCATGCTCCTCCGCGCACGCCACCCTGCATATATCCAGCACTACTCCAGACTCTAGTGCTTTCGGCGCCACACTGTCGTATTCCGCCCCCATCACCATCCTCTGCCCGCCCTTCTTTCTCATCCCGCCTCCCCCTAGCGCCCCTTCCCCCAGCCCCTCCCCCCACATGAACAGATCTCCTAGCGCCTCTCCCCCCGCGTCCTCCCCTGCACTACTGGTTGCGCTCGGGTGACTTGCCACTGCAGCAGCATCAGCCCACATTCCCGAGGGTGGTTTACCCTGCGTAACAGCTGTAGACTCCGTTCTACTGGAAGCAGAGGATTTGTCCCACCAGGAGGAGGACGACGAGGACGTGGTGGAAAGGACAGAACTCGTCCCAGGCCCAGCTGCCCCCGCTATAGTCACACTCCCACTGGCAACCCCACTGCCACCCCCACCCCCCACCCCACCGCTCCCAACAACCCCTCCAACCCCACCGCCACCGCTACTATTCAACCCCAGAATCGACTGCGCATTGGCGGCGGACGCGTGAGGCACGGAGAGCACGGAGAAGCCACTGAGAGAGGCAGTGTCTGAGGCATCGTCTCCGTCACTGGAGCGGTCGTCTGCTGCTGGGTACGTTGAGATGTCCTGAGCGGACTTGGACGCGGGCATGGGGGCCACGTCTGGACTCAGCCTGTCTGGCGGGCTGGCAGTCGCGGAACCGCCTGCCTGGGGCTGAGAGGGGTGCGGAGTGGTGGAAAGGGGGGATGGAAAGGAGGTGTTCTGAACCGGAGAGGACTTGGACGCGGGCATGGGAGCCACGTCTGGGCTCAGCCTGTCTGGCGGACTGGCTGTTACCGACCCGCCTGCCTGCGGCTGAGAGGGGTGCGGAGTGGTGGAAAGGGATGGGAATGGAAAGGAGGTGTGCTGAGCGGACTTGGACGCGGGCATGAGAGCCACGTCTGGGCTCAGGCTGTCTGGCGGACTGGCTGTCACGGACCCGCCTGCTTGGGGCTGAGTGGGGTGCAGAGTGGTGGAAAGGGATGGGGATGGGAAGAAGGTGTACTGAGCGGACTTGAACGCGGGCATGAGGCCCGCGTGTGAACACGAAATTAAGCGGTTGACTGACAGAGTCTCGTGGGAGTGAAACTGAGTGGGAGAGTGAGCTTAAGAGGGGATCCTTTTTTATTCGGCCCAGAAGTTACCCTACCGTCCTCCCGAGGCGCCTCACAAGGTACCTTACGGTCCACAGAAAAGAAGGGCGAGGAGTTGGGCGACCAGTCGGGTGTCCCTCTCTCCGCCACCACCATCGCCTGCCTACCCAGCCGTTCCGACTGCGTGCGGCGCTGCTTCTCCACGAGCGTGCCCAGCCCCACGAACCACATCTCCGCCTCGTCCGTGTCCTTGCAGATCTGCCACACCACCCCCACCACCACCAGCAGCACAGAACAGCACAGCACACAAAGTTCACTTTTGAGAATCCTCAAAAGCGATAAAAGCAGAGCTTAGATCACACTCTCCGCTGTGTGTTCTCGCCCTAGGGCTGCTGGCTGGAGGACGAAGGAACGGGCGGGATTGGCCATGCACGCTCATGGACAAGAGAAGGAGAAGGGGCTATTGAGTTCGTGCAAGGGGAGGGGACGGGAGGGGAGGGGAGGGGCTGCCGTCTGGATAAAGAGACGTGTGAGATCGAGCAAAGGGAGGGATGAGACGTACGACGTCGATGGTTCGTTCGCCGTTGCAGAAGATGATGGAGAAGGACTGGTTCTCCTTGTCGGGCCGCAGGTGCCGGTGGAATATGGCCTGGCGGCACACACGCACGCAGCACGCACAGATGCACAAGGTTGCACGCACGCACACGCACGCACGCACGCACGCAGGAGGAGGAGGAGCCAGTGTTACGACGGACAACAGCAGCAAAGGCGAACCGAAGAGTTACATTCGCGAAATGAGGAACGAGTAATGGCTTTTGAGGGCTTCGGGACGGCTCACGACTTTGGAGAGCGGGCGTAACTCACTGTTTTCTGGCCCCACGCGATCGTGCTGACTGCGGAGAGAGGAAGCGATTTCTCCCGGTCGCCGGAGAGATACACCAGCTCCGTCTCGTCCTGCAGCGCAAACAGTGAGAGGACGCGGGACACGCTCGCCGTAATCCATGCAAAGGCAATGATTAGCCATGCAAATGCAGCGGTAAGCCATGCAAATGCAGCGGTAAGCCATGCAAATGCAGCGGTAAGCCATGCAGATGTAGCTATATGTTCGGCGTTCCGGCGATCACTGCGTATCACTTCGACTCGCGATCGCGTCTGTATATGGAACCTCAGGACGACCCACCCCCCTTAAACAATCAGTTTATAACAGAATCTCGCAGCATTGACGAAGAAATACGCCCTAAAATAACAAACGCCGGCGCCGAGCAGCAGAATGTGCGAATCCGAAAAGCTTTTTACGAAGAAAAGCGACAGACGATGCTACGGAAAGGGATCAACGTACGGCAGACAGACGGAAATAGCAGGCTCGCGGCCTTCCCAGTCGGCCATACTTCAACAACCGCGTCCCTTTCTTCATTGCAATGACCGCCTGCACACAGGACGTCGGTACTCCAATGAGCAGCAATCCGCGGAAATCTTAACGGCTGGCAGAATGGAAAGCAGTCAAACCCTAATCTGAGGATCCCCTGAGGACTGACCTGCTCTATATCGCGGTCCGAGAACCCCCTCTTATAGCTATCAGCCACGCGAGGCTGACCCATGCCCTTTAGGTTCTTAGCGGACGGAATCATTCTGTGCAGAAGTCTAAAAACGTGTTAATTAGTCAGGATTAAACAGTCACGACCAGCCTACGACGATCCAGCTGCAAGTTGATTCGTGCAGTGCACCGCGTACGCGATAAAGGTCCACTGCCTGAATGCATCACGACGACGTAAAGCGTCGATTCACAAACAGTCATGAACAATGTCTACAGATCGGCAGCGCGATAAGACGAATGAATTCAGGCGTCCACGCGTCGAAGCTAGGAGTAAGATCGACATGAGCAGCCAATGCATCACTCGGATGACAGAAGCCTGGATCCTAGAACCACTACGAGTCCACTCCTAAAATCCACTACAATTGTCGGTAGAGAACGTGAGTGTGGATGAGTGGTGCAGACGATCCATAATATGTGCTTTGTCAGCAGAAGCTGGCCAGGGAACTGTTTCGCTACAGGCTCAGACGGTGAGCGGAGTAAGAGAATTCAGGCTGATTGAGAGAACAGGAGGGAAAGGGAGGACAAGCAGCACACCCTTCTGGAATCTCAGAAACTCTGTCGGTTGTGTCAATGACGGATGGACGACAGACGGAACGGGAAGCTGACGACAGCACGTTGACGGAACATCTGTTTGGTTGTCAATCCCGAGGGTGATGGAGAATTGTGTTGTGATTCGCTCTGGTTGGCCAACTGGTGTGGCTGTGCCTCAAACGAATGTCACGCTGGGTCTGAACTGTGCAGGGCTAGGCCCGCGAAAACTGTGTCAGATGCCGTCACCAGCCTAGTGTTTCACCGCTTTGAGCAATCTCGCTAAGATAACACCAGCTGTTGACTAGAGTCTCAAGACTAATATATCTCAGCATTTCCATTCGTTAGACAACCGTAAACCCAAAATCGATCAAGTGCTATGTGCTCATGTCCGCTCTGCCCGAAACTGAGGGCGTGTTCCAAGCAGTTAAAGTTTACCACCATATTGGATCCAGCGCCCTACGGTGCTAAGAGTTACGTGGGCTGGACGGACCTTTCATATGCACCCTTCTTTGGCGATATGCGCCCTCTATTCGTGACTGCCTCCTTGACTTCAAAACACGCACCTGTGGATCACTGCGCGTGCACCAGCGTCCACAGAAAGCAAGTGTCTCGTGATGTCTGGTCTGGTGATCATTGCATATCTGACGTGTCGTCCTCGCTTTGCTATCGCCCCGTTCAGCACCTATGATTTGCTGAGGGTGGTCAACGCAGCAATGGAGGTGGTGCACTGTGCGATTTCAACGATAGCATTTTCAGCCAACGGAAATTAAAGCTTTCGTATACATTTGAAAGTACTGTTTGTGGTGGAACAGTAGCCACCAAGATTTCGCCCCAACGAAAAGAAAGGGGCTTGGCGAGAGGGGTTGCGAAAATTTGGAGGATTGAGGGGTGGGAACACGAGAAACTCTCCCGTCACCCAACCCTTGAGCGACCCTCACAAACACAATGATAAGCAACTAATTACTAGGAAAGGCCTTGATAGAACTAGCAGCACAACTACTCACCCTGACCTAATCGCCCGTGGTAAGGGGACACGGGGCTATACAAAAGCCTTTAGCTGCAGGGGCGGTTTGCATTCGGATGGGCCGTCGCGTAGCATTCGTCGAGCGATGCCATGCGGCACACGGGCGAGCGCCTCGACGAGTTGCATTATGCTGGCTCGCCGTGATGCAATCGTCGAACCAGCGATAAATTATTCAGTGAGCCGTCGCGTTCCACCCTGCGGGCTTCTCGCCTAGCGCCATCATGCATCGCGAAACCCGCTGATGGCGAAACCCGCTGATAGCGATACCCGCTCCTCGCCAAACACGGTGCTCGCGAAATCCGTTTAGCGCGTCACCCGCTTCTCGCCTCACCCGCCGCATGCCTCACCTGCGAATCGGCAAAATACTTGCCTCACGCGCTGCTTGGCTCATAACCTTATTTCGTCATTTCCCCCCCTTCCGCCTCTCGTTTCCTCAATCTCGTTTCCCCCCCTTCTCCTCTCATTTCCCCCCCTTCCGCCTCTCATTTTCCCGGAGCTCCTCCCTCTCGTTTCCCCCCTTTCTCCCTCTCGTTCCCCCCCCCCTCCGCCTCTCATTTTCCCCCCTCCTGCCTCTCGTTTCCCCCCCTTCTCCATCTCGTTTCCACCCATCCTCCCTCTTGTTTCCCCCCTCCACCCTCTCGTTTCCCCCCCTTCTCCCTCTCGTTCCCCCCCCATCCGCCTCTCCTTTCCTCCCCTTCCGCCTCTCGTTTCCCCCCCTTCTCCCTCTCATTTCCCCCCCTCCTCCCTCTCGTTTCCCCCCCTTCCCCCTCTCGTTTCCTCTCCTTCTCCTCTCATTTCCCCAACTTCTCCCTCTCATTTCCCCCTTTCTCCCTCTCATTTCCCTCTTCCCCCTCTCATTTCCCCGCTTTCCCCCTCTCGTTTCCCCCCCTTCTCCCTCTCATTTCCCCCCCCTCCTCCCTCTCGTTTCCCCCGCTCTTCCCTCTCGTTTCCCCCCTTTCTCCCTCTCGTTTTCCCCCCTTCCGCCTCTCATTTCCCCCCTTTCCCCCTCTCGTTTCCCCCCCTTATCAATCTCGTTTTCCCCCCTTCTCCCTCTCATTTCCCCCCCTCCTCCCTCTCGTAACTCCCCCTTCCCCCTCTCGTATTCCCCCCTTCCCCCTCTCATTTCTCCCCCTCCTCCCTCTCGTTTCCCACCCTTCCGCCTCTCGTTTCCCCTCCTCCTCTCATTTCCCCAACTTCTCCCTCTCATTTCCCCCCTTCTCCCTCTCATTTCCCTCTCTTCCCCCTCTCATTTCCCCGCTTTCCCCCCTCTCGTTTCCCCCCCTTCTCCCCCTCATTTTCCCCCTTTCTTCCTCTCATTTCCCCCCCCTGCTCCCTCTCATTTCCCCCCCCTGCTCCCTCTCATTTCCCCCCCTGCTCCCTCTCATTTCCCCCCCTGCTCCCTCTCATTTCCCCCCCTGCTCCCTCTCATTTCTCCCCCTGCTCACCCTCAATTCCCCCCTTTCTCCCTCTTCATTTCCCCCTCTCCTTCCCCTCATTTCGCCCTCTCCTTCTCCTCATTCACCTTACCCTCATCTCCCCATCTCGTTTCTCGCATTTCCCCTACTCCGTCCCCTTGTTTCCCCCTCTCCCCTCATTTCATCCTCTCGTTCCTCTTGTTTCCCACATTTCCCCTTATCCGTCCTCTCCTCTCCCTTTCTCCGTCCCCTCCTTTACCCCTCCTTCCCCTCATTTTCCCCTCTCCCTCCCCTCATTCCCCCCTCTCCTTTCCCTCATTTCCCCCCTCCTTACCCTTCCCTGCCCCCACCCTGCCGGCAGGTGAGTGTGCTCATGCTGCTGGCGCGCGTGAGGGAGCTGCAGCGCCCTCACATGCTGCACAGTCCTTCCCCTCCTCCCCCCTTTGCTTACCCTTCCTTACTTCCCCCCGTGCAACCCTTGCTCCCCCTTTGCTTCCCCTCCCTTCCCCTCCAGCTTACCCTCTGTTTCTTCTGCAGCTTGCCCTTGTCTATAATTTTGTTTGTTTGTTTTTTTTCAACAGCACGACACGAAGGACATCAGGGCTTCTCATTCTGAGTGCTGCTCTTTGCAGCTTAGTGAAACCAAATCAATAGGCAGGAAGTTCCAGCTTGTGTGTGCTGTTAGCGTATCAATCAAGTGAATTGATAGCATAGCATAGCATGTCATAATACATTGAAAATGTTGATGACTGTACCTAGACACAACTTCCCTTCTTTGCGTACAGCATCCTTGCATGATGCACATGGGCACAGCACAGCATTGTATGCGACATCTGACGTGTGTTGTACTCAACTCAAGATACATGGAGGGTTGTCCTCTGCTCTAGCTGGTCATAATTTGTTCAACACTTGTTGAAGAGAGCTGAAAAGAGAGAAAGGCAGCAGGAGAGGGGAAAAGAGGGAAAGGCAGGAGGATCGTGAAAAAGAGGGGAAGGGTAATGCAGGGAGGGGAAGGGTAATGCAGGGAGGGGAAGGGTAATGCAGGGAGGGGAAGGGTAATGCAGGGAGGGGAAGGGTAATGCAGGGAGGGGAAGGTAATGCAGGGAGGGGGAGGGTAATGCAGGGAGGGGAAGGGTAATGCAGCGAGGGGAAGGGTAATGCAGGGAGGGGAAGGGTAATGCAGGGAGGGGAAGGGTAATGCAGCGAGGGGAAGGGTAATGCAGGGAGGGGAAGGGTAATGCAGCGAGGGGAAGGGTAATGCAGGGAGGGGAAGGGTAATGCAGCGAGGGGAAGGGTAATGCAGGGAGGGGAAGGGTAATGCAGGGAGGGGAAGGGTAATGCAGGGAGGGGAAGGGTAATGCAGGGAGGGGAAGGGTAATGCAGGGAGGGGAAGGGTAATGCAGGGAGGGGAAGGGTAATGCAGGGAGGGGAAGGGTAATGCAGGGAGGGGAAGGGTAATGCAGGGAGGGGAAGGGTAATGCAGGGAGGGGAAGGGTAATGCAGGGAGGGGAAGGGTAATGCAGGGTGGGGAAGGGTAATGCAGGGAGGGGAAGGGTAATGCAGGGAGGGGAAGGGTAATGCAGCGAGGGGAAGGGTAATGCAGGGAGGGGAAGGGTAATGCAGGGAGGGGAAGGGTAATGCAGCGAGGGGAAGGGTAATGCAGCGAGGGGAAGGATAATGCAGGGAGGGGAAGGGTAATGCAGGGAGGGGAAGGGTAATGCAGGGAGGGGAAGGGTAATGCAGGGAGGGGAAGGGTAATGCAGGGTGGGGAAGGGTAATGCAGGGAGGGGAAGGGTAATGCAGGGAGGGGAAGGGTAATGCAGGGAGGGGAAGGGTAATGCAGGGAGGGGAAGGGTAATGCAGGGAGGGGAAGGGTAATGCAGGGAGGGGAAGGGTAATGCAGGGAGGGGAAGGGTAATGCAGGGTGGGGAAGGGTAATGCAGCGAGGGGAAGGGTAATGCAGGGAGGGGAAGGGTAATGCAGGGAGGGGAAGGGTAATGCAGGGAGGGGAAGGGTAATGCAGGGAGGGGAAGGGTAATGCAGGGAGGGGAAGGGTAATGCAGGGAGGGGAAGGGTAATGCAGGGAGGGGAAGGGTAATGCAGGGAGGGGAAGGGTAATGCAGGGAGGGGAAGGGTAATGCAGGGAGGGGAAGGGTAATGCAGGGAGGGGAAGGGTAATGCAGGGAGGGGAAGGGTAATGCAGGGAGGGGAAGGGTAATGCAGGGAGGGGAAGGGTAATGCAGGGAGGGGAAGGGTAATGCAGGGAGGGGAAGGGTAATGCAGGGAGGGGAAGGGTAATGCAGGGAGGGGAAGGGTAATGCAGGGAGGGGAAGGGTAATGCAGGGTGGGGAAGGGTAATGCAGGGAGGGGAAGGGTAATGCAGGGAGGGGAAGGGTAATGCAGGGAGGGGAAGGGTAATGCAGGGAGGGGAAGGGTAATGCAGGGAGGGGAAGGGTAATGCAGGGAGGGGAAGGGTAATGCAGGGAGGGGAAGGGTAATGCAGGGAGGGGAAGGGTAATGCAGGGAGGGGAAGGGTAATGCAGGGAGGGGAAGGGTAATGCAGGGAGGGGAAGGGTAATGCAGGGTGGGGAAGGGTAATGCAGGGAGGGGAAGGGTAATGCAGGGGGGAAATGAGAGGGAGAAGCGGGGAAAATAATGAGGAGAAGGGGGGGGAATGAGAGGGGGAAGGGGGGTAAACGAGAGGGGGTGGCGGGAAGGGGTAATGGGGAGCGGGAATGGGAAATGGGGAGGCGGGAAGGGGTAATGGGGAGCGGGAAGGGGAAACAGGGAGGTGGGAAGGGGAAGCGGGGAGCGGGAAGGGGAAACGTGCAGGCTGGAACGAGAATTGAGGAGTAGAGAAGGGAAAACGGGGAGGCGGGAATGGGAAATGGGGAGCGGGAAGGGGAAACGGGGAGGCGGGAATGGGTAATGGGGAGCGAGAAGGGGAAACGGGAAGGTGGGAAGGGGAAACGGGGAGCGGGAAGGGGAAACGGGGAGGCGGGAATGGGTAATGGGGAGCGGGAAGGGGAAACGAGAAGGTGGGAAGGGGAAACGGGGAGCGGGAAGGGGAAAAGGGGAGCGGGAAGGGGAAACGGGGAGGCGAGAAGGGGAAACGGGGAGCGGGACGGGGAAACGGGAAGGCGGGAAGGGGAAACGGGAACGGGACGGGGAAACGGGGAGGCGGGAAGGGGAAGTCGGGAGCGGGAAGGGGAAACGGGGAGGCGGGAACGGGAATTGGGGAGGCAGGAAGGGGAAACGGGAAGGCGGGAAGGGGTAATGGGGAGCGGGAAGGGAAAACGGGGAAGCGGGAAGGGGTAATGGGGAGCGGAAAGGGGAAACGGGGAGGCGGGAAGGGGTAATGGGGGGCGGGAAGAGGAAACGGAGAGGCGGGAAGGGGAAACGGGGAGCGGGAAGGGGAATTGGGGAGGCGGGCAAGGGGAAACGGGGAGGCGGGAAGGGGTACTGGGGAGCAGAAAGGGGAAACGAGGAGGCTGGAACGCGAATTGGGGTGGCAAGAAGGGAAACGAGGAGGCGGGAAGGGGTTGGAAGCTCCCGTTTCTGCAGTCGTTCGCGCACTCAAGTGCGGCTGCCGGGGCTAGTGCGGAAACGTGGTAGCGAGGCTGTGCGATCGGGCCGCGACTGTGATAGTGCGTGTTCGGCAGTTTGAGACGAGTCGTACGCGTTCACGGTGGCGTGAGGAGGCAGCGTCGTGAGGCGACACGACGGACGACGAGGCGAGGCCGTGAGAGGAGGTCCCGCGGGATCGCTGCGTGAGAGGGCGGAACTGACGTTGGTTTATCCCTATAATTACACTAAACTGCCCCACGCGTCTAGGTTTGTGTCGGAAACGAGGGTAATTTGCGCTGGCTGTTGAGTCGCGATGTGCTTAGCTACGTATTATGCTGCCCGTAGAGCGTACTGGCGTAGATCTCACGTAGGCTGGATTTCGTATACTTTTGTCGACCCAAAAGTTTTGAATCACCAGCTAGTGCTGGGTGTCGGGGAGATCTCCCTCCCTTGTTCAGAGAGTGAACTAGCTGTAATTGGGTTACCAATATTTCAAATCTCAAAACTTTTGAACCTCCCTCTTTCAAATGTATACAAAAGCTTTAAACTTGGTTCTCCCTCTCACGGAAGGCTCTGCTCTGCTGCTAGTCGTCCGAGAAATTTGTTTCTCTGGAGATCGTTTTCTGACTGGACTGTAATATTTTTCTGCACCAATATGGCATGGCCCAATCTGTACTGTACATGAATGAATAGCTTCTGGTTTTTATAGTGCGTTGTATGAACAGATTTCGTGTCCTGTACAGAGAGACGCCATGCCACGCTAGGTGTCTCTTTTTCGCCGGTGCCCGTTCAATCGAGACGGGCACCCAACAATGCCTCCACTCCAACCCATTGTCGTTCACATCACTCTGCTTGGTCGTCCGCCACCTGCCCACTGACCACGGGTCACGACTCACGAATCTCACGACGACTCGCTCGCTGCAGGGCTGACCCCTGAACTGAAGCCGCAGCAATGCACGTTCCTTGTGCTTCTTGGATTGAAGATTTCTGTCCGCCAGCCGCTCTTGTCCAGTCTGTCCTGAAACCCCAATGTCCATCCCGTGAAGGACCAAACCACACGACTACACACGATGCCCGTTTGACTAACCCAAGGTTGCCTTGTGAAGAGGGCTTTTAAGTGATTCTGAGCACTTCGCAAATTTCGTCAACGTCGCACCTAGCAAAAAGGGGCTTATAAAACAATTGTAACTCCTCGTTGACATTTTGACTTCGGTCTCTTCCTTGTGACTTCGGTTTCTGTGGTTCGTATTGGTTCATAACCACTGCAACTTGCTCGAGGAGCTTGTAATGTGGGTGCAACTGCCTGGTAAAAAAAACACGGGTGCAGACTTTCTATTTTCGGAAGGGCACATTCGCGCGCAGGGGTTGAGCATCTTGTGTATCTCACAGGACGTGTGCTCCCATAAAAAAAGGACCTTACGTGCCTAAAGGCTCTAGAGCGACCAACCTGCTGGACAGTGTTGCAATCTGAAAGGCTTGAGCTGGAATTCTGAAGGTGTTGTCCGAAACTCCACGACACGAAATAGTCCTTCATTGTAGAACTTCCGGACAGTGAGCCGTACTTGCAAAGAGAGTTCGGGCGGTGTTGTGTGCCTCGTAGCGCCTGTCGCCATAGTGGTAGCCCAGAGATAGCCAGCACCAACCGAGATTCACATCAGGTTCTATTAGGGCGAAACCCGTACGAGGTTTCCTTGAATTCCTTCAGCGCAATTCTCCGAGGCCAGTATCGAGCGACACCGACACGCCAAGAGGGCAGATTGATTAAAGGAGGCAATACAACTTCTTTACAGGTCTCGTGTAACAGTAGTGAACCCTTAAGCTCCAATTACCTTGTAACAATATGGAGGCGCGCGAGATCAACTCCTTCTATCGTTCTCATGGCCCCAATTCCCGCAGCACCGCTTCTCACGCCGCCACCAGTAGCAGCACCGGCAGCGGTAGCGGCGGCGGCGACGGCGGCGGCGGCGGCGGCGACGGTGGCGGCGGTGGCGCACGCAACGATGCCCGTCGCGCGGCCTCAAATAACAAGCTCGAGCCGCAACCAGCACGCGACGTGGGCGACGCGCGTCAACTACCGATTGGGCGTCGCGGCAATGGCGCTAGTACCACCACCGCTGCCTCGTCGTCCCTCCTCGACCGCCGCAATCGCCGCTCCCTCGCCCCATTGGCCACTGCTGGACTTACTATCACAGCCCGCGCAGTCAGCAATGCGAACCCTAGCAGCAGCAGCAGCCGAAGCGCTCGGAGTAACGCCGCGCGTATCGCCAGCTCGTCGATCGCCGCGATTCACGGAGAGCCGGCTTCCGCGAGAGGAGTGCGCCGCGGTCCAGCCGTCTGGGAGGAGCAGCAGCCGTCAGGAAGTCGGTCGGCGCGGTACGTATCAGCCGTCAACGTTGACGATGACGACAGGATGCGCTATTCTCCGCCACCCCATCCGCTTCAACGCGAACCCCTTGCGCCGCGTCTTAAGGTCGCTAAGTCGCCCGACGACAGCACGTCGCCTACTAGCGACGCGGTAACGCCGCGATCCATGGCGGGTTTCGCGTCAAGACGGTCGGCTAACTCTCGCGCGCGAAGCGGCCCGTTAGCGCCTCGGAGGAGACCAAGAGAAGACGCCGCGGTTCGCGACATGAGAGATCGCGACGTGGCGCGCTACGACGAGAGCGGGTCGCGATCTGCCAAGCTGGCGTATCTAGCGGGATTACCGTGGACGCCGACAAACGGTGCGAGCGGGACGTTACCGTTGGTGAGCCCGATGGACAGTCGCGCAATTCGTCGCATGAGGAGTGCGACGAACGTGCAGACTGAGCTGCGACCGAGGGGCGCGTCGCCGAAGGACGTGCGACGGAAGAAGCGGGTCAGCATTGGTCTCCAACCCACGACGCTAGACCCCCCCTGCCCTGACCCCTCCACGCTCCCCCTCTCCTCCTCCTCCCCTTCTTCCTCCTCTCAATCTCACACTTCCCGCTCCCCTTCCTCTCGCCCCCTGCCCCAAACTGTCTCTTTTCCCCCCAACCCTGTCTCTGTTCCTGTCACTTCCGCCTCCTCCGACGCGCCCTCCCCCGGTGCTGACGGCGCTGCGTCCTTTTCCCCGTCGCCACGCCGCGCACGCTGCGCGTCGTCTATGTCTATAGATCTCTTTTCTCCGTGCCGCATAGCGAGTACAAGCTTGTATCGACACCGCCTGACGAAGAGCCATGGCGGCGGATTGGAAAGCGGCGATTCTCGCAAGCCGTCCTTCCCCCGCCCCTTGCTCTCTCCCCCGCTTCCGCTCCCCCCTTCCGACGGGTCTTCCGCCGTCCCTTCCCCCGAGTCCAAACCTGGCGGAACGGGCCGCGGAAGCGGGCGGAGCAGTGGCGCAGGCGGCGGAACCGGGGGCGGAACCGGAGGCGGCGGGGGGGCGGAAAGGGCGGGGAAGGGGGAGCGGCCGTGGCATGCGCCGATTGACCCGTCGCCTACCACCCCCCTGCAGCTGAAGCTGAGTCCGTCCAACGGGCAAGAGGGGAGCGATGAGGAGACGGCGGGGAGGTGCGTCGCGCGGGGCGCGCCGGAGGGGAGCGATGGCGGAGAGTTGGAGGCGCCTCCGGGGGAAGAGCTTTCCGCCGCTTGCGCTTCCGCCGGTTCGTTTTCCTCCGGAACTTGTAGCGGAGACGGCGGCGATAAACGCGCTGGCGTAGCTGCCCAGCTAAATTTATCTCTGCCCGGGTCTGGGTCTGTTGCTCCTCTTGACGAGAGCCTGTTCGAAGTGGAAGAGGCGGAGGAAGGAGAGGAGGAGGACGAAGAGGAGGAAGAGGAAGATGAAGAGGGGGAGGAGGAGGAAGAGGAAGGAGAAGAGGAGGAGGAGGAGGAAGAGGAGGAGGAGGAAGCAGAAGAGGAGGAGGAGGAAGCAGAAGAGGACGAGGAGGGGGAAGTAAGGGTCGAGAGTGAGGGAGCAAGTGGGGATATGGACGAGAATAGGGATCATATGGGTGAAGTGGAGGAGGAGGAGGGGGAAGAGGAAGGGGACGGCGACAGAAGAATGCATACTGCTGCTGCTACTGCTGCTGCTACTGCTGCTACTGCTGCTGCTACTGCTGCTGCCACTGCTGCTGAAGCTACTGCCGCCACTGATGCTACAGCGATTGAAGCAGCTCCCAGCGTTTCTCCTCGTGACCTGAGGTCAGCATCTGTGCCGGCTGCCGTGTCTGAAGCACAGCCACACAGCAAGCACGAGCACCACCGCTCGCGCTTCTTTCACTCCGCCTCTGGAAAACTCACCGCGTTTTTTCAAAAACTGCCCAAGAAGCTGCCCAAAAATATCCACCTCCTGACGTCCCCGCGTGGTTCGTCTGCGCATGCAGCCGCCCAGAACGTGCGCCTCACGCCGCCCCAATCGTTCCTTCCAATCAAACCGCTTGCCACTCCAGTCCGCGCACTGCCGCCCAGTGACACCCCATGCCGCCCCCTGGCGCCTGTGGAAACTTGTGGAGAGGAGAGGGGTATAGGAGAGAAGGAGCAAGGGAGCTTGGTGCAGGATGGGAGTGAATGTCGCGAGCAGAGTGCAGGCAGCGGCGAGAGTCCCTGCAGTGTGGTTACCAGCAGTACCAGCAGTAGGGTTACCAAAAGTACCAGCAGTAGGGTTACCAGCAGCACGCGCAGCAGAGACGGCAGCCATGGAAGCAGCAACGCGTGCAGCACGGGGAGCACAGTGGTTGCTACTCCCACACCCCAGAAATGCTCCCTACAGGAAAGGGAAATCACTGCTACTGCTGCCCTTCAGAGTGCCTCCCAGTCAGCTGCTTGTGCTGCGGCTGATGCTCCCACCAGCACCACTGCTCCAACTAAAGCTCTCATATGCACTGTTGTTGCTGATCATTCCAAAAGCACCATTCTTGCTGTTAATTCTACCAGCAGCACCACTGCCACTGGTGGTATTCTCAAGGGCGCGCACTGGGGGCTGAGCCGGGCGGCAGATCATATCTTGGGGCAGGCGTACGAGGATCTGAGTGAGAGATACGCGGTGGAGGGGCGGCAGCTGGGCAGTGGGCAGTACGGCGTGATTCGGCGGTGTGTGGAGGAGGGCACTGGGCGGGTGCTGGCGTGCAAGACAATCGACAAGCGCAAGATCAAGGTGGGTGTGGCTCGGGCTGAATCAGTCACTAACAGGTGAAATGGAGGCCTTCATTTCTATTCATCTTTCCTGCAATGTCTAAGACTTCCCGCCGTCGCTCCACCGCTCCCACCCTCTTCCCTGCGCCCCCTCCCCACCAGACCCCAGCGCAAGCCAGTGACTTGCGCAGCGAGGTGGCAACCCTGCAGCTGCTGCACGGGCACCCATCAGTCATCACTCTCACCGATGCTCTCGAAGATTCCCACCACGTGCACCTGCTCATGGACCTCTGCTCGGGCGGCGATCTTTTCGACCGCATCTCGCTGGGCGGCGCGCTGAGCGAGCACTGCGCGGCCGGCGTGTGTCGGCAGCTAGCGGAGGCGCTGCTGCACTGCCACCGACGGGGGGTGGTGCATCGGGACGTGAAGCCCGAGAATATCCTCCTAGTTGGAAGCCGAGGGGCAGCGAAAGGAGGCGAGAAAGGAGTGGAAGGAGGAGGAAACGGCAAGATGCAAAATGCCAAGGCTCCTCGGATCAAGCTCGTGGATTTCGGAATCGCGAGGTTCTTCCGAGATGGCGAGAAGATGCGTGACTGCCTCGGGACTCCCGAGTACATGGCTCCAGAGCTACTCCTAGGGTCATACGGGCCTGAAGTGGACGTGTGGAGTGCAGGCGTCGTGACGTATATAGCCATCTGTGGGCATCCGCCCTTCTGGGCCTCAGCTTCCATGGGCCAGTCGCTGCAGGAGGCGATTCTGACACGGGATGTGACGTTTGCGACGCCTGGATGGGTGGGCGTTTCGGCGGGGTGCAAGGAGCTTATAAGGAGGATGCTGCATAAGAATCCGCGGAAGAGGATTACGCTTCTGGAGGTGCTCGGTGAGTGCTGGTGGTTCCTACTCCATCTGTCCTCTGTTTCTCCAATCATGCTACATTCCCTGCATTCCTTGCGCCACATACACCACCGGACACTGTACCTCCCACCATATTCACCTACCGGCACCACAGACCATATGCATCTCGCATGAGTGCTCCTTCCTCCCCACGCGTCGCCCCGATTGCAGGTCACCCCTGGATACGCAGCAGCGAGAGCAGCTGAAGAGCCCCTGAACAGCACTGGGAGCTAGTTATAAGGCAACGAGGCAACAAGCAATGCAAGTTCACCAGCAGCTGCAGCAACGAGGGCAGCCGGTAAACCAAGTTCACTCACCCAATGAGGTAACAGAGTTACGGTACACAAGTAATATCTTCCCTCCAGATTATCATGGAGCTTACATAACCTATTTAACCAGAGGACTGGCGTCTTTCAAGACATGCTCTCAAATGCTGATGGTGGCGTGATGCTCAATGAGCGAGAAGTACTCATGTGCAGAGGGGTGCTTGCTCAACTGTGAAGCTTGAGAGATGCAGGCAAACTACCGGTATGAGCCATGCTTTGTATGATATGGAAACTGTGGGAAAACCACACCACAGGTATATTCCTTTTTGGGCAGAATGCTGCAGGGATGTGTTAATGCATGCCAGGAGGAGGAATTCACTTGTTATTTAGCCGCGATGCAACAGAGATTCAGTTGATCCCTTCGCTTTCACACACTGTACAAAGCAAGAGTCAAGCAAGTCAAACCAGTCAACTCGTACTAATCAACAGAGACATGCAGCCACCAAGTGCAGCAGCATGCCACCTAGTGTGTGCACCACCCACACAGGAACATGTAGGGTAGCATGGGAAGGAGGCACCACTACAGGTGCCTCCTCCAACATCCGAGGTGCTTCAAAGAGATAACCTTCCTCACTGCCTTGTCATTGCAGCTTGTCCCCTCCCATTCCCAACCCCCCTGCTTCTCCCAGTACCAGTATAAGACTTGTGTGTGAGGAGAGGAAGCCACGCCATGTGCAGCTCGCATGGGCACATGCACAAGCAAAAGCCACGCCAAAAGCACCGTTGGTTTGCTGCAGCAAACCAACCGCCTCTCTAAACGTTCACAAGCATGCACAAGCAAAAGCCACGCCAACAGCTGCACCGCGCCGCACACGAGCACAATAAAAGTGCCACGCATGGCCGCACGCACAGGCAGGCAGGCCGAGGGGCCTCTCCCTGATGAGTCCACTCAATGTTGCCACGAGCCAGAGCCTTGCACGGCTCATGTGCACACGTCACTAGCACGCGTCACTTGCAACCACGTGCGTTGGCTTCTTCAATGAGTCCCCGCGTGCATTGCTTCAGATTTTGCACCCCGACTGGTGGGAGGCAGGGGTGGGAGGGAAGATAGAGGGAGGGAGGAGAGGAAAGAGGTGAGGGAGATGCGTTTGGAAGGGAAGGGAACAAGCAGAAGAGAGACAGAGTACCTCCCTGCACCGACAAAAGTGCAACACTCCTCCTCCCTCAACCTTTGCGCAAACGGCTAGCAGGGATCTGCTGTGGTCATGTAACTACTCCAGCACCTAGTTGCATCGACTTTAGTGACTGGTTGCGACTACAGTACCTCGTTGCACTTACCACACCTTGTTACGTCTACAGTACCTCGTTGCACTTACCACACCTTGTTACGTCTACAGTACCTCGTTGCACTTACCACACCTCGTCGCGTTCACAGTACCTCGTTGCAGTTGACGATGCCAAACTCGAGTCCGTCTATGAGCGCACGGAAACTGGCCTCCACGATGGATGAGTGCGCTCCCACCTGGGAGGAGACGAAAAGGGAAGGAGAGTGGGGAGAAGAGGGGAGAAGTGGAGGGGAGGAAGTGAGGAGGGAGGGAAGGGGGGAGGGGAGGAGAGATATGCAGCACAGTTCACGACAGCTGTCTATGGCATCAGCAATTTCCACAGTGCCCAACCCACCTACCATAGTCCACATGGTGCTGCTGCCTTATCCCCATTCACTCACCCCGCCTCACCGCACTGCACACCTACAGTGGTCCACGTGACCCCCGAGCTCTTATCACAGAAGTTGATGGTGACCCGAGTGGTGGACATGGTGCCGCTGCCTTATCCCCATCACCTCAACGCGCCTCACCTCACCACACTGCACCGCACCGCACTGCACACCTACCGTGGTCCACGTAATCCCGGAGCTCTTATCACAGAAGTCGATGGTGACCCGTGTGGTGGACATGGTGCCGCTGCCTTATCCCCATCACCTCAACGCGCCTCACCTCACCACACTGCACCACACCGCACTGCACACCTACTGTGGTCCACGTAATCCCGGAGCTTTTATCACAGAAGTCGATGGTGACCCGAGTGGTGGACATGGTGCCGCTGCCTTATCCCCATCACCTCAACGCGCCTCACCTCACCACACTGCACCACACCGCACTGCACACCTACCGTGGTCCACGTAATCCCGGAGCTCTTATCACAGAAGTCAATGGTGACCCGCGTGGTGGACATGGTGCCGCTGCAACCTCACCTCGTACCAACCAACACCGTACTTCACCGCACTGCACACCTACAGTGGTCCACGTAATCCCGGAGCTTTTATCACAGAAGTCGATGGTGACCCGTGTGGTGGACATGGTGCCGCTGCCTTATCCCCATCACCTCAACGCGCCTCACCTCACCACACTGCACCACACCGCACTGCACACCTACCGTGGTCCACGTAATCCCGGAGCTCTTATCACAGAAGTCGATGGTGACCCGTGTGGTGGACATGGTGCCGCTGCCTTATCCCCATCACCTCAACGCGCCTCACCTCACCACACTGCACCACACCGCACTGCACACCTACCGTGGTCCACGTAATCCCGGAGCTTTTATCACAGAAGTCGATGGTGACGCGAGTGGTGGACATGGTGCCGCTGCCTTATCCCCATCACCTCAACGCGCCTCACCTCACCACACTGCACCACACCGCACTGCACACCTACCGTGGTCCACGTAATCCCGGAGCTTTTATCACAGAAGTCGATGGTGACGCGAGTGGTGGACATGGTGCCGCTGCGCCTCTCAGTGGGCTCCAGCAGGCGAACTCGGTAGTCCACCAGCTCTACCTGGGCGAGCTGCGGGAAGTGACAAATTAACGAGGCCCTGCGCGGTTCAGAACGGTTTAGGGGTGCGAATGGGGGGTCATAAGAACACGGTATGAAAGGCACAGGTTGCGAGGCTCTGCGCCTCTCAGTGGGCTCCAGCAGGCGAACACGGTAGTCCACCAGCTCCACTTGGGCGAGCTGCGGGAAATGGCAGTCCAGTGAGGCCCTGTGCGGTTCAGAGTGGTGCAAGGCAGTGAGTGGGGGTTCAGAAAACAGGGTCAGGGTGTGAGGTTCAGCGCCTCAGTGCGCCTCTCAGTGGGTTCCAGCAAGCGAACACGGTAGCCCACCAGCTCTACCTGGGCCAGCTGGGGAAAGTGGCAGTCCAACGAGGCCCTGCGCGGTTCAGAGCGGTTCCAGGGAGTGGGGTGGGGAATGAGTGCAGGGAACAGGTGAGTGGGCTCCAGCAGTGAGTCGCACAGGGCGATCCACCAGGTCTGATTGGAACAGCCTCGAGCGGAATAGAGGGGTTGGTGGGTGCAGTGCGGTGCAAAGTGGGCAATAAACATGAAGCGAGGGAATGAGGCAGTCACAATCACAGCATCACATGCACAGCATTCTGAATTGCACCCACCCACCACAAAACGCGTTACTGTCACACTCACCTGAGGGCATGGTTGAGGGCGTCAACAGGCCCGTTGCCCTCCGCTGCACTCATCTGAACGGCAGAAACGAGTGGAAGGGAAAACAAGAGTGGAAGGGAAAACACGAGAGGAAGGGAAAACAAGAGTGGAGGGGAAAACAAGAGTGGAAGGGAAAACAGGAGTGGAAGGGAAAACACGAGTAGAAGGGAAAACACGAGTGGAAGGGAAAGCAAGAGTGGAAGGGAAAGCAAGAGTGGAAGGGAAAGCAAGAGTGTGTCTCTTGAATGAGTGGAACAAGAGAGGATGGGCTGGGCTGACGCACGGTTGACTGCATTGACCGGACTTGGCCTGGATTGGATTGAATGGACTGGACCAGGTCAAAAGACGAAAGCACCGTAGGGGTGATCAAAGGTAAGTACGGTGTATTTGCTGTTACTCCAGGTCTCACAGGTCAAGCTCTGCGCTACAGGCCAAACCACACCGCCCGCACCTGGCTGATGCCGCCCACTTGGACCTTCACGATGGCCTGGCTGTTACAGCTGGCGCCCTCCATCCACTCACTCTCTGCCACCACCGCCGCCTCCTTCTCGCTCTCCCTCTCCCTCCTCCTCCTCTCATTCCTCTCCCCCTCCTCCTCGTCACTCGCGTCACTGCTGCTCCCGCTGCTGCTGCTGCTGCCTTTGACGGGTTGAGGCACGCCCAGGCGGTTGGTGGAGATGACTGAGAACTCGAGCACGTGGAAGCTGGTGATTGGTGATGGGTGTGTGGGACGGAGGGAGAAGTTGCAGGAAAGGGGGTTGGGGGAAGAATAGGCGGTTGGTGGAGATGACTGAGAACTCGAGCACGTGGAAGCTGGTGGGGAGAAGAGGGCACAGCGGGAGAGGCGGCGAGGGGAGATGGGCAGGAAACAGGGAGTGGGGCATGTGTGGAGCAGTGACACAGTGAGTCAAGTCACGCCCAGGCGGTTGGTTGAGATGACAGAGAACTCGAGCACGTGGAAGCTGGTGATTGGTGGGTGCGTGGGTGGGAGGGAAGACGTTGCAGGGATCACGTGCAGGGAGCACGTGAAAGGAAAGAGAATATCAAGTTTACGTGAAGGCTCTCCTCTCATAGTCGACCGTTGAAGGAGCTTTTGAGGATTCTCAAAAACACCCTGCCCAAGGGCAACCCCTTGAGGCAATTCGCAAATGCAATCCCCCTCCAGAACTCACGGGATCTGGTAGCGCGCCCCTCGCCGCACGATCAGCATGTCAACGGAAGCAGCGGCGTTCTCGAAAGCGAATCCCCTCGCCTCCATCTGCTTGATCCGCGCCAACAGCCGCCCCGCCTCCTCCCTGCCCAGGTCCAGCCCTGCCACATGTTGCTCCACCACTACCCAAATGCAAACACTACCATTAAAACCCCCCTAAAGGCATACCCCCCTATAACATAAACTTACGGGATCTGGTAGCGAGCCCCTCGCCGCACGATTAGCACGTCCACCGAT